GGGCTGCAGGATGGAGTCTGAAGCAACTGCGGGGCTGCAGGATGGAGTCTGAAGCAACTGCAGGGCTGCAGGATGGAGTCTGAAGCAACTGCGGGGCTGGAAATGGCTCCTTTCATGTATTGATGTGGTGCATATTGCTAGAGGGGGTTGGGGCACATAGAGGTGGTAATTAAGCTTTAGGTTAAAACATGGTGAAGGTGACACCAGGTAGGGATCAGTTAGAGAGGGTCGGAGGTTAGTAGGTTAGGGATGTAGACATGTTATAGGGTTAATAGCATTTAGGGATAATGGGTTAGGCATGGCCAGAACTAGAACTGCGTATAGGCCTGGGTGTGGTGTTGTGTGTTTCATGATAATGGTAATAAAAGGAAAGGGAGTAAACTCAAACCCAACATTAACCTTGCCTGGCTTTTAGCCTTTCTTGTCAGATAGGAGTATTTGTTGTTTGCTGATCTAATGAATAAACCATCATTGTACAACAAAGGAGCTGGAGTTTGTATTCATTTTAGGACAAATCTTTAATACTGAAGGACTGGCTGAGATTGGGGTCATGTGATCCCCTTTGTGACCTTCTGACAAGCAAAGTCAACGGGGAAGCCAGATTTGCTTACCAACCATGTTCCTAACTTAACTGCCATGACTCACTTAACAAATGTTGCAAAAAGGTCATAAAATAGGGCTAAATTTACTTAACAAATGTCTCACTAAGCAACATAAATTTTGGGATCAATTGTGATCGTAAGTTGAGGACTACCTGTACATTCTTATTTCTGAGGGCTATCCAAAATTTTGTAGTCTACAAAGTGAAAAGCCTTAAAACATAAGCTATTTTTTCTTGATTCTATTTCCTCTTGATTCCCCCCCCACTAATAAATGCTACCAATATATTCTCAGGTACCCCTGTCTCTTTTGAAACTGGTTTGTACATCTGGCAAAGTTCTTGTTCCATGTGTTATTGAAGTATGGGCTAGAAAATCATGATTATTATTATACTAGTATAGGAGATAAATGAAAGTGCTTTGTAGTTAAAGCACCCTTCAGTACCGGTTTTTCTAGTATTGGAATATAAATTCATCCTTATAATGAGTTATCTATAATTGCCTACAAATGGCTTACAAAAATTGACTGCATCAACTATAAGTTCAGCTGGCATTTCATCAATTCTCGCAACATTGTTGTTAGCAATTATTTTCCTGGAAATAATTTAATTTTACTTTTCAGAATGTCTGCTCTAATTCCAAGATCAAGCCTTAGAACCAATGGCCACTCCAAGCTGTGCACTTGTGTGGCAGCAAGCAACCATTGCACAAGAATCTGTCACCTGCTCACTGAGATGATGCACCAGCAAAGGAAGGGGAGAGAGATAGAGAGAGACCCAGAGAAAGAGGGAGGAACAGGACAGGGAAACTTTTTGCTCAGCCCTTGGGAACTGGGTAGAAGCATGCAGACCTTCTATTGACCTCCAGGCAAAGAAGGGATTCAGCTGTAGCAGGAAGAGGATAAAGTTCTTGCCTAGGACTTAAGCTGAACCCAACGCTGCAATAGATCAATAGTTTAATGCAGGAGTCTCCAAACTTGGCAACTTTAAGACTTGTGGACTTCAATTCCCAGAATTGCCCAGCCAGCATGACTAGCTGAGGAATTCTGGGAATTGAAGTCCACAAATCTTAAAGTTGCCAAGTTTGGGGACCCCTGGTGTAATGTCAAACCATGTAGTTCAAAGATTGGTGCAAGCCTATTACAATATTAAGACAACCGAACAGTGGCAGGAAGTTTTAAGTTATCAGGGCTTCCTGGCATAAATGAATTAGTTTCAACTAAGGAAATTTTAAACACCTACCTGAGCTGGTTCACTAAATATTTTCTTATATTCTCTTAAACTGAAACTGGAGATGTGGTATGCCTTCAAGTGCAGAAATCAAAGTTTGTTATGATTTTGCTGATGGAAAGCTGTGAAATTCATAGCAGATTGAGCACCCGTATACGTAGATACTCAATCAAAAAGCCCATCTTTTTGCACCCCAAGCAAATTATGAAGAATTCTAGAAGGCAGTAGAATAAATCACTTAAGAATGGAATCAAAACTAATAGGAAACAGCCCAAGTTGCAGCCTATGATGTAGTCCCATATAGACCATTCAACAAAGTTAGGTGGATGTTAAGTCATTTTGCAACGAAAGAATGAATTAAAAATTACAAAACACTAGTTCAATATTTCTCAAAGGGAGTTGAGGATAGAAATTAACTTGCAGCCAAGTACTGTTTGACAATACTGCAGAATCCATAATGGTCTGTTTTTTAATGGAGCTACATGTGCCATTTGAGATTTTTGAGCTTGCTAAGGCCAAGATAGGAAAGCTGAAAGCCAATATTTGGGATACTTTGCTCGCTTCAGCCCTGAAGTGATTTTTTTTTTTTTGCAAGTATGGTAACTAAAATAAATAATGATAACATGCCACAGTATTGAACCATCTGGCAGGGAAATTCCCAGATGGTAAAATGGATTGCATTTGAAATATTAATCTTGCAACAGGATAGTATTTTTGGCAATGAAGAAATTCAGTATCTGGTTTGTAGCTACTCAAACATTCTCATAAAACAAATTTCATAAAACAAATTTCTGCTATAAGAAAGACTTACAGTAAGTAGCAAAAATAAATATAATGAAAAAGATTTAGCTATTAAACTGAAACCTGGCTTAGCTTTCACATTGAAGCCTGTAATATGGCACACAGATTTAGTAAATGAAAAAGAAATGTGAACTTTGTACAATTGATGATACAGATGACAATGTAAGTGATTGATTTTAGGATGCAATTTTTTTTATTTCCTGTACAATGAAACTTTAACTTACTTGTACACAGAAATTGTTATCTATTTCAGTTACTTTTTAACATTGTTTTGATGTGTATGTATTGTACACATAACATAGTATATTGTTTTCATTTGGATAAAAACATGTAACATTTCAAGTGTTAAATAATTTCAAATTTTACATTTTATATATGTAAAGTATATTATGTGCTATTTTTGAAAATACTTCAGCAAGGACAAAGGAACCACAAAATGCACAGTGATAATGACTTAATCATTCTGTATCCAAACTCATGCCTAAGCTTACTCATAACATTTTGCAGTCCGCAAAATAAACTGACAACAACAAAAAAACTAAAATGACGTAAACATTATCCTGTTTTTCACCCTAAACATTGAATCAACCAGGCTCAGTTAAAGTTACATATGGAAGAAGTTCACGTTAGCGAGAGAAGGACTTTTTTTCTCTCTGTGTTGCTGACTTCTCTATCTTAGGAAGAGAACTACGAGAAAGAATTCATTTTTTGAAGAAATTAAGACCTTGGAAAACGATAGTTAATGACTCAGGTTACAAATGAAAGTTCTCTCAAAGTTCTTTCCTTTAAACTGGTCTTCTAAGAGAGCAGGAAAAAAATTCTAACCAGCTTTTACTCTGTTTTAGAACACCCCCCCCCCCCCCCCCCAATGGACTGGTATCGGTCTGTGGCATGCCAGCAACTGGGCCATGCAAGCAAGCAAAACCGCATCTGCAGGATGCAAGAAGCACACAAAGCCATGTTCCTCTGGTCCATGAAAAAACCTTTCTCCACGGAACCAGTCCCTGATGCCCAAAAAGATTGGGAGCCACTACTTTAGAAGAAGCACTGTATTTTCCCTTCAATGGAAATTATTTGAAATTTGCAGTCTTATTTCAAGCTTGATAAGAATTTTCTGCATTGTGTTCTGTTTTTTTTTTTTGCAAATTCCCTTCTGTTCTTCTTTATATAGCATATACTAGAATACTATAAATGGGCTGAAATATAGCAAGCATTTTGCCTGCTGGTTTGAACAGAGTTTTACTTGTAAACAATGAAACCACCTAGAATTTCTTATCTCCCAACCTGTTTTCTACAGAGCAGCAGAGCAAGGTTTTCTGGTAAACAGGTGTGTCCATAATGACAGAAGGAGACACCAAAGCCAAAGCACAGGATGATACCCAGAGAAGCAGCCTTTATCTTCCCCAAAGGAGCTCTCGCAAATTGCTATAATTGTTTCTGAACATAGTCCAAGAACATAGAATACGTCCATCCCATAGTTTATCCTCTTTCAATGTTTCATTTATAATTCCATCTTTTCCACTGTAATTTTCTTCAATTATATAATTCTTAAATCTCAAAGATCCAGAAGCATTCTTGGAAACAGCAGTTTCAGTCAATATTACTGGTAGTTAAAGGCTATGTGAGAAGAAAGTTTTTTATTCTTATAATTTCACATTTTGAAAATTGCCCAAATTCTCAATAACTCCAGGCAATCTACAAATTGAAAACCAAAGAAACAGAACAACAATAGTCAACAGAAAAGCAAGATGGTCACCCTGCTGGAACAGACGTAAGAATTCCTCACAAAAAGAATCTTGTCCCGGCCTAAAGTCTAGGGGAAAAGCCTGTTTCCTGGGTCTCATCAGATGACATTGTTTAATGAACAGGACCCAGGACATGCTGACTCCATTTAATCTTGTAGGATGGGCAGAAACAAAAACAAAGAGAGAGGGACGATCCCTCAAATAACTAACCTATCTAGGCGATAACTAGACTTTAAATTACACTCATAGGTCTATCAGTAACCAGTGTAGGTTGCACATTCTGTTGGTGATAATTTTCACACTATGTAGGTTGTAGAATAATACTTCTCAGAACAAAAACAATGAATATAATTTAATAGTTCGTCCAAGATACATGGTAATGCATGCTTGTAAATAAGAATGGAAGGCAGGGGAATAACAACCTGTATGTATGTATGTAGGCGTGCATGCATGCATGTAGGTATGTACATACATATGTTTTAATTTATAATACACCTTCCTCCTACAACAACAATACCCTGGCTAAGGTGGGACTTAAACTTACGATCTCTTGCTTTCTAGTCATTAAACTGGCTCTCATATATGACTCTATATGATCTGCCAGTAAACATGTTTTTCCCTTCTCCTTTCCTACTCAAAAGATGAAGGGGAGGGGACAGAATTTTACTCAGAATAAAAAAAAATAGTTTCATTCTCTATCTCTCTTCTTTCTGATTTGAAAATTACTAAATAGGAAAACAAAATCCAGATAAGTCAAATTTCTTGGACATGTGGGAACCTTTTCAATTACGGAAGTGTGCTAGAAAACCTTCCCATTCCAACACTCCACAGAAGCTTGTCAGAGGCATCCTCATAAGTGGATGTTATATCTCACCCATTCAAAAAATGATTACCATGGTGATCAACAACAGTAACAGAATAATCATTTATGAAAAAACATTGATACATATTCCTCAATCTTGAAGTTTGAAGGTTCTGCACAGTATCTTAGCTATTTCCAGCACTGCCCTCTTCTGTACAGAGAGGTCTAATGTTGTTCCTCGGGTCTATTAAAGCTACGTTCCCAGCTTAATAGTTACATCCCCAACTGCTCCTACCATCACTGGAGTCACTTTGGCCTTTACTTCTCACATCCTCTCTAGCTCCTGGTACATTTCCTGCTTCTCATACTCTTTCCAGATGTTGCTGTCTCTTGGCACTGCTAAATCTACCACCAGCATTGTCTTCTGGCCCTTGTCTATTATCATATCTAATTGATTGGCTAGTCCCTTCTTCTCATTTTACACCACTAATGTGTTGGAGTGTCTCTGAGGCCTTTCTGTATAGTTAGCCCCTTGGGTCCTGTCTGGTGTGGTAGACTCCCACTTCTATGGCTCTGGTGTTTAATATCAGGTGTAGGAAACCAGAAGCCAGATTAGAGTTCAAAAGCACTACAAGTTTATTTCATTCACAAGAATCTGATCAAGACAAATGGGTGCCAGTTAAGAATCAAGAGGCTTCAAGGGGTTGGGGGTAGATTTAGCTCTTTTATGGGGACATAGCAACTCCAAAATGATATGTCAAGCTCAGCCTGATCATTTTTGCACTTCTACTGCTATAATCAGTACCTAAGCACTGTTTTTTAGTCTAGCCCTTTCCAGCCACTGGTAGGATTTCCCAATGCCTGCCACCTCATCCATCTGTCAATGGTATATCTCATTCAGGATCTTATCTTGCAAAGACTCTTTGTTTGATCTTCTTTCCCTGTCTGCTGCTGGCCCTTCAGCCATTCTCTTAGCAGCTTATCTTTGGGTGTCATTTTATTGATTCACTCCTGGTTGCTCAGTGTTTCGTCCAAAACAATGGATTTAACACTGACAGACCCTGTTGTTTGGCAATTGACTCATTGCCCAGGTCTTCCAGAAGGATGGCTGGTTCTATTTCTGTTTCCTTACCTCATAATCTTGAGAATTATGTTCTTTGTTGCTCTTCTGTGTATTCTTGCCATCTGTTCTTGACACCTTGTCGATCAGATACCTCTGTCCCGTGCTTGTTTTTGATGATGCTTTTATGAGCAGTAAATGGTGTTCATATATTTTTGAGTTAGCCAAATGCATTCCTGGGGTGGCTCTTCATGCAACCCTCTTTTATCTGCTTGTAATGCTGGTCCCAGTAAACTTCATTGTCTCTCTTTGCTGCACTTTGAAAATGTGCTTTCAAATCTCCTTGCTTCCTCCTTTCCTTGCTATTTTGGTTGCTTTTCTTCGCCAGTTCCTTAGACCCCCAGAACTTATTTCAAAAGAAGCAGTCAGTATCAGAACTTACCCACAATCCTTGAGGATGTAAGAGGCCACTGCCAGAATTTCTTTGATGATGCTCATCCCATCAATTCCTCCATCCAGGGCACCAAGGTCCTCAAAGCTATAAACCAAAGACATGTCTAAAAACCAAGTCATATCCTATTCTTATCTTTGTTCTTATCTTTGAATCACATCGAAGATAGTATTGATAATGTTGGCCTGATTTTTCCAATAAGAGAGATGAACAAGTCATACATGGAGACCTGATCATGCTTTTCTCCAAACTTAGTACTTTGCTCTAGGTGTGGGACTGTCAGGTGTGGCTCTATTCAGAATCCAAGAAAGAAAGCCTTAGATTCCACTTTTATAGAGAAAAGAACTTTTACTGAAATTGAAGTGGTAGCAACAGGACAAATGCAAGATCTGAAGCAAAAGGCGCGGAAATTACATATAGAAAGTTATCCCATGTCCCCACCCCCAACCATTCAAACTGGACATTCAATCTGAGGTGTGTATAATGTCATGTGAGTACATCTTCAGGTGGCATGTCAGACATCTTGTATGTCAAGACGGTTGTCCTTGGCCTAGAAAAGATAAGTGGTTGCATTTGCGCAGTAAGCAAGAAAACATCCCAAATTTACAATTCACACAACTTCAACCTCCAGCACCCTTCCCCCCATGAGGCCCAATTATTCCTTCCCCCCTGTTTCTATGGCAGTCGGAAAGAGTCAAGCAGAAGAAAGAATCTTGGAGGATGACAGGGACTAAATAAGAACAGGACTGATTAAAGAGAGATATGCTGAAATCTATTATTTGTATAATATTACAAAGAAAATGTTATAAAGTCCCTTGAATTATTTACAGTGGCAGTAACCGCAGCCCCTTTAGACAAAAAGAACCCAAAATCCTACAATGCTTTGTTTAATCTAATAGATAATTGAATGGTTAACTGAAATATTCTTAGTCTCCTAGAATCTGAAATAGTTTTTTCAATCCTAAATCTCCATGTTAATAGATTTTGGAAAGAGCCAAGAGGACAACAAAGGATACTCATAAAGGAAACCTCACTTCGTTTTTCGACAGCTAAAAGCAGAAATAAACTGCCTGGATTACAATTGTGATATCTAAGGAAGGGTTTTTTTAAAAGAAAAAAATCTTTCTATGCAATTTTCTCCTTACCTCTTTGCCATGGTATAAAAAAATCCAATTATCTATATGGAACCTAAAATCAGGAGGAGTTTGGTAGCACTTTTTCAGATGAACTAATTTTATTAAAAAGCATAAGCTTTTGTTGAGATTTTCTGACAGGAAAATAAATGTGCTAGCCTGAAAAAAATGCTTCAGATTCTTTCTGATTTTTGACTAAAATGGACTAATACAACTATCCTTCTACAATGTCTATATGTAATCTATTCTTCCTCCCATGCATTGTCAGAGGAAGGGAAAACATATCTGAATTCAGATTTGGGAGAGATTGCAGTTGCTGTTATTTCCTTAATAATTATAAGAGTTTGTATTAATGGCAGGGCTTTCAAAATCACAGTCTTTGGCTTTAAAACTGCAGCAAAGAAAAAACAATACACAATGTGGAAAATAAAGAAAAGATGGGTTATACCAGAGAATTTCTGCTGCCAAGTCACTCATATCTTCGTGAAAAATGTAAGGTGGATTACTGATGATAGTATCTACCAAACCCCAAGGCTGAAGGCATTCCCAAGAACCTACAATGAAGAAAGCATTAAAATGCTTTTTAGACATTCAAAGTAACAGGCAAGCATTTATTCCTTTATTTTAAAAACTACACAGATGGCCATGAAAAAGAGCTTTTAATATTCTTTTGAATTTTAAGCAATCCGATTCCAAGCATAATCCTAGTGAGAGTCTATTTCAAGAACTGGAATCCAATAAGAAAAAACTGTAACATGATTATTTTCATGTATCATATAATAGATCATATTGAAAATAAAAGAAATATCTATCCAAAAGAAAATTGTAAAATATAACGGAACAGCTCTAGTTTAATTGAAAAGAGAATATATGGAAGGTATATTAATTTTACAAATAGAGGTAATCCCTGGGTTATGAATGTTCCCTTAATAAACGTTGGAAGTTCCGTGATAAGCACTCCTAGCGTTTATGAACAACTCCCAAAACTACAAATCTTGTACCACCACGGCAGTTGTTCGCCCTTACGAACAGCCGCAGAGACTCTGAAACATTTGTCCGGCACGTTGCCAGTAAAAATGGAGCTTCTGAAACTCCATTTTGGCCAGCAATGTGCCAGGCGAGGCCTCTAGACACCCAAATGGAGCGTCGCAGGGGAGGATCTGCCCCTCAGAAGCTCCACTTCCACTGGAAACATGCCAGGTGAGGCCTGCAGAGGCCTGAAAGGAGCACCGGAGGGGCGCACACAACTGAGAGGCTGGAGAGGAGACCACTTGCTAGATCTTCACAAGGTAAGTGACCCAGCGTGGCAGGTTGGGTGGGGGGAAGCAATTTTGGAGAGCATGAGGTATTTCAGTACGTTCAGGAGGCCTTGGGTGATCTTAGGCAAGTGGCCTGTTCCATCACTAGGCCCCCATGGCCTTCCTCACCCTGAAATACCTCATGTGCACTTAACAAGCCTTGCATTCAATTCGGAGGGAGTGATCCTATTCAAGGTATGAGATTCACTCCTACGAATCCTTGAGGTACAAATGGAATGGGCAGGCTCCATTTCATTCATAACTTGAGGACTACCTGTAATAACAATATTGATGATGATGTATAAGTGATGATAATGTATAAACTGTACAAGTAATTTGATAAGCTAATCCTCTGGATTCGGTCTTTAAAACAATGAAGTAGCGATAGCACCATCAACACTTGGAACAGTTTCTTAAACAAGACGGGTGCTTCAGGAGGATCTTCAAGAAAAACTGGATGCATTCAAACACAGATTAGATTTTAATAAGCTGGAATTAGACTTGAAAGCCTGCTTCACTCCCTTCATAACTGATTCTATGATATCTATAAAGTAGCTGATAACAATAAGAAGCTCTAGAAAAAAAACATTTAAAAGGAGAACATGACACATTTACAACTGGGACAGAAAATGCCTTTCATAAAGCCTAAAGCCATTAAGCATCCAAAAGGTAACATCAGGTAAAATGAGAATGGGAATTTCTAGAAATTAGAGGTGGATTGAAAAGGCCCTCTGTTATCGACTTAGAACAGGGGTCCCTAACACCCAGGCTGCGCCCCACTACCAGGCGGTGACCTATGGGCACAGTTCCACGCAAGCACATGTGTGTGCAGCCTGCCTGCTACTCACACAATTGAGCTGTGCATGTTCCATGGGCAAAAGCGCGCTGCTCATGCAGCCCAGTTCCTCTCTCCCCCCGCAAGCCGCAAAGGTTGGGCACCATTGATTTAGAAGAAGGAGTTGGGTGGCTAAGAAGTATGAAATATAAATATATACATACATGCATAGATGATAAATAGATAGATAGATAGATCGAAAAGGGAAGAAAGAAAGAAAGAAAGAAAGAAAGAAAGAAAGAAAGAAAGAAAGAAAGAAAGAAAGAAAGAAAGAAA